CAGGAGAGCAAAACCTTGGGGGCAGCTCCTCTCCTGTAACCTTGCCCCATGCAGACAGTCAGTGCACAGGTGCAGGATGGCCACAGTGCACCCAGGCATGGCAGGACCACCCTTCCCACTCACCACGTCCATGTATTTGACCAGCTCAGTGAAGTTGGGGTTCTCTTTGTAGGCCATGATCACCTCTGACTCCACCTTCTTGCCAGCACATTCAATGATCACCTGGGGCTGATCCACCTCAAACAAGTTCACCCGTTTCAGGTCCCGCAGGCCCCAGAACAGCATCTGAAGCACAACACAAAGCTGCTGGGCTGCTTGAGACACGCCAGGCATGGCACAGCCATGCAGCCTGCAACCCTGCCTGATGCTGCCACCCCCCTCACCCCACAGGACACACACCCCAAGAGAGGCATGAGGCCACTCTCCCAACACAGGCACCCAACAGCTCTGGCTGTTAAACTGCTGAGACTGGTTCTCCCTCATGTCAAGCATCTCTATTTCTGGCATCTGTTCAGGCCTCAAAGGCACATTTGAGCTCCAAACCTGACTCCCTCCCCAAGCCCTGTCCTCTGCACAGACGAGCTTGGGGCAGCCCCGTGGGGAGCCAGCCTGGCAGAAGGCAGCTCACCTCTATGCGAAACTCCTTCAGCACTGGGCGGATGCCCTCAGGGATGATGAACCGTCCAGCATGGGGGTCTCCCAGGTAGTCGGGCTCCTTGGGCTCCACGTCCTCGGGCACTGATGGCTGAACAGGTGGATCCAGGGCACATCAAGATGACAGTCATTTCTACTCCATGCCATGGCCCCTCTCCCTCCCCTCTTGATCTGTGCTCACAGGCTCTGTCAATGCAGCCTCCCTTCAGCTGAAAGCCAGATGTGACGGGAGATCCTCTAAGAGGCCCCATGCAACCAGCTCCTCACCCACACAGCTCTCCCCAGAGAGCTGGCAGCCATGTGCAGCTTCCTACAAGCCTCTTACCTCCAAATAGCCACTGTAATCCAGTTCAATCAGCTCAAAAGTGGCAATGAGCTCTCCTGCTGCTTTGGTGCCTTTGTAGAAATCAAAGAACTGCAGGGCAGGTTTGGTGTACGGCTCATCGACCAGCTTCACCTGTGGGACAGCAAAGGCCTGGCCAAGGAACTCAGGGGAGCCCTGTGGGAAAGGGGAAAACGAGTCAAAGCATTCCTATGTTATCTCACCACCTCAGAGAAAAGACCACCACTAATTCCAGCCCATCTGGGGCAGCACAAGACTGCTCTTCCACCCTTGCCATCCTCTGCTTTGGTTTCCTCTGCTCCATCCAGAGCTAGGAGCAGATGAGACGTGCCTGAAGCAGCTCCTCTTAACTCCCAGTCCATCTCCATGCAGAACTGGGCAAGCAGCCTGGAACCATGAACCAGAGAACATCAAAGCTAGACCAAGTTGCGCAGAATCTCCTCCAGCCGGGGTCTGAATGTCTCCAAGGATGGAGATCCCACAAGCTCTCTGAGCTCCAGGCCCAGCATTTGAACTCCCTCTGGGTGAAAACTGCTTCTTTAAGTTGGATTTTTTTTCTTGTTCCAACTTGTGTCGGTTGCCTGTCATCCTGCCCCTGGGTACCTCTAAGAGAAGTCTGGCTCCACCTTTTCTACCCTCTCCCATCAGGCAGCTGCAGGCAGCAGTAAGACACTGCCTTTGCCTCATCTTCTCCAGGCTGAATACACCCAGCTCTCCACTTCTCCTCACTCTGTGCTGTGCTTCAGCCACAACCATCGTGGTGTCCTCCTCTGGACTCACTCCAGTATGTCAGTGTCTGTCTTGTACTGGGACCCAGGAAAGGGGCTGAGCTACACAGGAGAATCTGGTGCGAGTTAAGCTGTTCCCCTTACGATAACAAAGAGGTCCCAGGAGAGGAGTGTGACTTCAAAGTACTAATGAAGAGAGAAAAGGGAGCACTGAGGAGGAATGGAAGATGACACCTTGGGGACAGAGGAGAAGGAACATCCCTGAGAGCTACATCACCTTCCCCTGGCTACAAGCCCTCTGCAACGTGAGCCTGCCAAGGAAGTGGGGCAGGCAGCTGGGAGAGGCACAGTGCTTCTCCAAAGAGGAGAGATCCCGGATCCACTGAGCACTCATCAGGCCCCAGCTCAGGGCATCTCTGAGCCACCTCTGCGCTGCAGCCAGCAGCTTCACCCCAGCTCACAGCAGACGTCTGCAGAAAGCCACAGCTCCCAGGACTCTGCTACCAGTGGACCAGGCTCAATGTGAGTCATGGAAACCAAACAGAGATGTGGAAGCGCCTGCTCGCA